GCTACCTGAAGTAGTCTCAGCCTGCTACTTCTCCGCCATCTTGACTCCTCCCCTCATTGTCATTTTTATTTGCATTTCCTTGACGATCAATAAGGCTGGGCATCTTTCCATGGCACTGGGCATTTTCGTGTCTTCTGGAAACTAGTTTCTGCCCATTTTCAAATTTGATTGTTTGCTTCTTTGTTAATAAGTTCTGTTAGTTCTTTATATATTTTGGATATCAACCCCTTATCTAAGATATGGTTTGCAAAACTTTTCTCCCATTCTGTAAGCTGTTGTTTCATTTTGTTGATTGTTTCTTTTGTTGTGCAGAAGCTTTTGAGTTTGATGTAGTCCCATTTGTTGATTTTGCTTAGTCTGTGCTTTTGGCATTATGACCAAAATATCATTGCCAAGACCAATATCAGTGAGTTTCTTCACTGTTTTCTTCTAGAAGTTTTATGATATAAGGTCTTATATTTAAGTCTTGGATCCATTTTGAGGGTTTTATTTTTTTTAGTGGTATGAGATAGGAATCTAATTTCATTATTCTGTATATGCTTCTCCAGTTTCCCCAGCATCAATTTTTGAAGAGACTTTCCTTCCCCCATTGGGTGTTCCTAGCTTCTTCTGTCAAATATTAGTTGACCACACATACTAGGTTTTAATTCTGGGCTCTCTATTCTATTCCATTGATCTGTGTGTCTATTTTTGTGCTGCACCATACTTTTTTTTTTACTATGGCTTTGTAGTATAGTTTGAAAATGTGATACCTTTGGCTTTGTTCATTTTCTCTCAGGACTGCTTTGGCTAGTTAAGATTCTTTGCAGTTCCACATGAATTCTAGTCTTGTTTCTTCTAATTCTGTGAAGATTGCTTTGAGATTTTGACAGGAATTTTGTTGAGTCTGTATATGGCTTTGGGTAGCATGGCCATTTTATCAATATTTATCCTTCTACTCCAGGAACACAGGAAATCTTTCCATTTCTTTGTGTCTTGTTTGATTTCTTTCTGCAAAGTTTTGTAGTTTTCACGTACAGATCTTTCACTCCTTTGTTTAAATTTTTTCCTAAATATTTTATTGTTTTGGATGCTGTTGTGAATAGGATGGTTTTATTTCTTTTTTTGATGCTGCATCATTTGTGTAAAGGAATGCCACTGATTTCTGTAAGTTGATTTTGTAATCTGCCACATTACTGAAATCATTAAGGTAAACATATTTTTAATTGACCCTTTGGAATTTTCTTTATAGAAGATCATGTCTTCAGCAAATGGTGACAATTTTACTTCTTTCTGATTTGGATACTTTTTATTTCTTTGTCATATCTAAATACTCTAGGTAGGACTTCTAGTACTAAATGGAACAGGAAAATTGAGAGGGGGCAACCTTGTCTTATACCTGATCTTGAAGGAAACTCAATTTTTTCTCATTTATTATAATGTTAACAATGAATTTATTGTATATGGCTTTTATTATATTGAGGTATGCTCCTTATTTTTAAATTAGTTATTTTTTAAAATTAATTAAATTAATTAATTGTATGTGAGGTGCATTATAAATTGTTTTCACACTGATTTGGGGTTAAAGTTATTCCTGCTGAGGTGTTTTCCTAAGAAGTCTTTGAAACATACTTACCTTTCTCCCCTAAAATAATTTTTTTTTTTTAGCTTTGTTCATCTGGAAGATGAAAAATCAGTATTTCCTACATAACTAGCTTCTCTTCAAAGCTCCAGTACTATATATTTCTATATGCTTTCTAGACATTTCCATGTAACACATTGAATGATGTATCTAAACTCTAGTTCATCATCTTTTTTTTTTTTTTTTGGATGTTCATATCAGATTTATTCATAGTAGAAAACTCATCATTTCTTTTTTTTCCCCACAGCCAACAATTCCTCTTTTTCTTCCCAGAAAACTGCCTTCCTATTCTGACTTGCTTCAGTGAACCAGCATTTATTTATTTATTTGGCCATCAGATAGAATTGAATTTTTTTTTTTTTTAATTTTGTTAGTTAATATACAGTGTTAATATTGATTTCTGGAGGAGACTACATTGATTCATCACTTACATACAACACCCAGTGCTCAACACAGCCGTGCCCTCTTTAATGCCTATCACCTATCTAGCCCACCTCCCCCGCACCTCTCTCCATCAACCCTCAGTTTGTTCTCTTTCATTAAAAGTCACTAATGGCTTCTTTCCCTCTCTCCTTTTTTTCTTTCCTCCCCTTCCCATATGTTCATCTGTTTTCCTTCTTAAATTCCACATGAGTGAGATCATATGATATTTGTCTTTCTCTGGCTGACTTATCTCATTTAGCATAATACACTCTAGCTCTATCCACATCTTTGCAAATGGCAAGATTTCATTCCTTTTGAAGGCTGAATAATATTCCATTACACACACACACACACACACACACACACACCACACACACCCCACATCATCTTTATCCATTCATTTGGGCTCTCTCCACAGTTTGGCTATTGTTGATAATACTGTTAAAAACATTGGGGTGCAGGTACCCCTTCAAATCTGTATTTTTTTTTTTATCCTTTAGGTAAATATCTAGTAGTGCAATTGTTGGAGCCTAGGGTAGTTCTACTTTTAACTTTTTGAGGAACCTCCATACTGTTCTCCAGAGTGGCTGCACCAGTTAACATTCCCTTCAAGAGTGCAAGAATTTTCCCTTTCTCCACCTCCTTGCCAACATCTGTTGTTTCTTGTGTTGTTAATTTTAGCCATCTGATGACTGATTTTGAGCATCTTTTTGTGTATCTGTTAGCTATCTGGATGTCTTTTTTGGAAAAGCATTTATTCATGTTTTCTGCTCATTTCTTAACTGGAGTATTTGTATTTTGGGTGTAAGTTCTTTATAGATTTTGGAACCTTTATCAGATATGCTATTTGCAAATATCTTCCCCCATTGCCACCTTTTAGTTTTGTGGATTGTTTCCTTTGCCGTATGGAAGATTTTTTACACTGATGAAGTCCAATAGTTCATTTTTGCTTTTGTTTCCCTTCCTTCCAGTGATGTGTCTAATAAGTTGCTATGGGCTGAGGTCAAAAATGTTGCTGCATGTGTTCTCCCCTAGGATTTTGATGGTTTTCTGTCTAACATTTCATCCATTTTGATTTATTTTTGTGTATGGTATAAGAAAGTGGTCCAGTTTCATTCTTCTGCATGTTGCTGTCCAGTTTTCCCAACCATTTGTTGAAGAGACTGCCTTTTTTTCCATTGGATATTCTTTCCTCCTTAGTCAAAGGTTAGTTGACTATATAGTTGTGGGTCCATTTCTGGGTTCTCTATAGTTTTGGAATCTTAAAGCCATATTACACTTCTTCTTTTCCAACTCCCACACCAATAACAGGTCTTACTCTTTGCCTTCATAAGTGTATATACACAGAAGCCTCCTCTACAATCCATTATCTTAATGCTATGAGAGATTCTTATCTTTCGCACACTTGCCTAACAGCAATTTGCCTAGTTTCCCTATTTTCGTATCTGTTTCAGTCTTAATCCATGCTGTCAATCAATTCAACTGTTTCTTGCAAAGCTCTTTCAAATACATATATCCTTTCCATTCCAGCCAACATACCCCACAAAATATATAAAGGCAGCCTTCTAATTCTTGGTATATTACTAGCTTTAGCTTTAAACCACTTGCATAGATCTATCTTGTGTTCTGTATCACAGAATACTCTCAGTCCTACCAGTCTCTGACTTTATTACTGATTTTCCTGATTATAGATACAAACACATCCTGTTGACCTCACACCCACCAAGGCTTTTGGATCTTTGGTGTTTGTACTACATCAGTAGTGCAATCTGGAATTAGCTACCCTAGCTCAGCAGCTCTTGATCCTGCTCCGCCTCAGGACAATGGACCTCAAGGGCAAATCCATATTAGATATTTCTCCCTTAGGCTTACACCATTAACTATCAAAATGCCTTTTCTAAAATCTTGCTACTTTCTTGTTCATATATCTAAGTACTTCCCATTGCCTATAAGGTTTAAACTGAGTTTAAACCTATTTTGTTACCTAAAGTACCCCCAGAGTCGGGTTCAATATACATCTCCAATATTATGTTTAGTGAACAACAGAGATGTTAGTAATACAAAGCTTTTTTACTAGGATCAAACTGGACTGTCTAGTGTTAACAAAAGAAGCACATTATGCAGCTCCTTGCTCTAGAACATCCTGTGCTTTCCACCTACACAAATCTTATTTACCTTTCAAAGTCTGGTTCAAATCCTCATATCCTCTGTAATCACTGTAACTCACAATAATGTCTTCCTCTTTGAAATCAGAAAAACACTGTTTCACTCAGTTGGTGCTTAATTCATTAGTAATAAAGTCATATTATATATTGCTATCAAATTTTTTATGTTTAAATTGTAGTTTGTTAAAGTGTAAGACTTTGAAATCAGGAAAAATGTCTTATCTCTATATCGCACTTTTAAGGAAACACTAATGCAATTGTACATGCATGGCACAGTTTTTGATTAATCAGGTTACTACCATAGACATTTTCCTAGTAAGTATTCTGACTTATTTTACTTAGAGCTTTTGGGAACTCTCAGGTATTTAAAACTAGACAATGTAGTATTTCAGGTTTTTCTCTGAGCTGTTCTCTTATTATACTGCATATTTTCTTTTATTTCTCCAAATATATATGAGCTCAGAAGTACAGAATTCCTGCTGCTACTTCCTTCTTTTATACCTCTACAATTCTACAATGCTTTTTTATAATATTATACATAGAAATACATAAAATTCATTTGTTTATTGAACATAGAAATTAGACTGGCAGTTTCTAAGCATTTATGACACAAGAGGTAGAAACAAAAATATAGAAATAAATAAATTACTAGTTTCCTAAAAATAAATGACTTATGTGAAATAGGAGATGAACTTACACAACATCATTCAGCTCCAGTCTGGTATCTGGAGACGGGTTAATCAGGATGTAGGAGAGGGTACTTTGATGATCATTCATTTCATCTAGAAGATAAATAAATGCCAAGTTTGTTATACTACTTACAGAAGATTACAGGAATTACTGTAGAGCATCTAATCTTCAAACCATATACCTGTCCATGAGAACTTGCCATAGTTTTGCCCACAGCATGATTGTGTACATAACTTTGACTATTTTCAAATGACTGTCATTGGAAATATCTGACAGGTACTCATTTTTTGTTCCAACAGATGATAAAAATAAAGTATCTAACTCTGTTCAGAACAACTACAGTTATATTCTACCCTTTAAGCTATTACACTGAAAAAATATTTCTATTAAAGAACTATCTAGACAAGATGTTCATTAATTTATTATGCCTTTTCAATTATAAAAAATAATTGTGGTTATAGATGGCCATCCCAGATATGAATATGCATACGGGAAATGCTGTGAAAAATCATGTGATGACATTCTGTTTAAAAAACAGAACAGAAATGTATCTAAAAAGCTTGAAGGCTCTAAATATGTTTTGCATTGTTATAGGATATATCTGATATAAGTTATGCTAATGCTTTTGCAAAATACAAAGAATACTGTAGAACAGAATTAACTGTAAGTTTCAAGGGAGGTGTATTACTAAATTTTTTGTTGTTTCTCTAAAACCATATGTATTTTTAAAATAAAAGGCTTTGTCTTTTTAATTTTTTCAATTCACTCTGAAGACATTGTCACTCTTCAAGTTTGAAGAGCTAACTTGGTATTATATAGGATGCTGAAAAATAAAACAGCTTTGAAATCTCAATTTTTTATCTGTCAAAGTTCAAATCCTGATAAGATGTAAATATAAAACCACATGGACATGTACTTCAATAAACATTAATCCTCTCAAGGGTGACATTTTTAGGCTGTGAGGGTACTGTTTAAAATCCTGCTCTAGAGCCACACATAGTATCCTTCTACCCACTTCAGTTACAGATAAGCTTGGTTTCTAAAACAAGGTACTAAATTTTGTTCCAGTTTGATCCAAAGTCTAAAAATATATTTCATACCAATGGAGTTACATAGTACTCAAATGCATAAAGTTAAAATAAAGGTCTTTTTTTAGGCCAACATAGTTGACTGATAATTTCCTGCACTGGAAAATAGATATCATTTTTGCTAAATAATGTCTACCACTGTGTTCATCTAACTAGAAACTTATCACTTGAATGTGTAAAATTTAATAATATTTTCAGTTATGATAGTTTAAGTTGTCATGCAGATGTGTCCAATTTTTAAAGACTATACATGAAAATCCTTATCTTACAAGGAAGATAAACTGCAGTATAATCAAACGTACCATAAGTTTGCAAGTAAAACTATTATAATCATAAAATCATCAAATTTATATTAAAAAAAGGAACATATTTGGTTGCATATCTCTAGGGCGGACACAAGGAACAGTATCCTGGCAGATGGATAAACGTTGTTGGGCCATATAGAGAATGCCTGGTAAAATCTGAATTTCAGATAAAAACTAATAATTTTTGGTATAAATATGTCCCGAATACTGTTTGTGGCATTCTTATACTAAAACATTTTTATGTTGTTTATCTGATATTCAAATTTAACTGAGAATTCTGTATTTTCACTTGTATACTGTATTTTAAATCCATTATAAGTCCATTATACTTGGGGGTAAATGGCTAATTCAAACAGTTGGAGCTCAGAATTCTAATGAATATAATATGATGAGCTTACTTTAAATAAGGTAAAATTCCAACTCAAAACATATTATACGGGCAGGCGGTGACCAAGATTCCTTTTCTAGATAAAAAGGAATTTTGATTTATCTATACTTTTTGAGAAACTTTCCCCTTATGAGAATATCCACAAGTGCCATACAAAGGAACAGATCGATAGTACATCCTAGAGACTTAAGCAGGCTACCCAAAATAAAACAGGTCTAGTAGAGAATCTCCACCTCATTTGGGTATGTATAACTCAACTTCTTATATAAACAGTGGCATTATTGAAATTTCTCATATAAACAGTGAACAATGTTAAACAATGGCATTAAAGAAAACAATTTTACACAAATAACTTCTCAGTCAATATCAATACCCAACCCTTCTCCTTGATTATTAACATAATGTTGTACTCATTTGCCTTCTGGCATGAAGTCAAGATATATCAGTGACTTGGTTTGCCTGTTACAGGTGTAAAAACTGTGGAAATAACTGAGAACTTTACAGTAGTAGTTATAACTATTGCGTTGATAATTTTTTCTGCTCAAATAATCTGTTTTATTTATCATTCTGAAGATTTTCATCTTTCCATGAAAGATGAAAAATTCCAGAAATTGAAGGAAATTCCAGAAATTGAAGGAAATGTTAATGTGCTCAATTCAGTGATCCCGTATGATATATATCAAGACATGGGTTACACAATCAGAATTCATCACACTCCTGGTTTCTTCCCCCCCCACGCACACCCCCTCACTGATTTCTCCTCAGTGTTAGGTTAAAAGAAATTAAAATAAATGGCTGAGTTCAAAGTTATTCTCTCTTTGTCTTTCATGTCTGCCTTGCTGTAGAGTTAATTCTGGTCTGTTTTGTTGGGAAGTTCAGCAGTTTACTCTCCTCTTTGTGACTCTGTGGTTAAGAATTAGGAAGCAAGTTTTTAAAGATCTACTGTGGTTGTGGTCACATATCAAAACTATATTCCATGATCTAGTTTTATCACCGCCAGGTCTGGTATTATTGTCTCTACTGGCCATTCCTTATATTTATTTGTTATTTCTGAATTCTGGAAGGGAAACTGTGGTAGGTTTCCTGCCATAATCATAATCATCACCACCATCATCATCATTGGTGGTGACAAAGTCCCAGTAAATTAAATAAGGCTCTTTATTACCAAAACTACAACATATTTAATGAATAAAATAAAATTGCCTTGGAATATTTGGTTCATGAACCAGAATCAATATTTTATTTCCTATCAGGAAAATATGTGCTAAGAAATCTGTTGTGAGCATATTCAATGTGTTCCTAACAATCTCTGACCCTGGCAAAATAAAAATCATTGTATCATTATATATTTATATTGTTTTGCTGAAATTACTTCCTCATTGATATAATTATCTTAAATGAAGCTATTCTTGTGAAAAATTAAAATAAGTGTACCAGAATATTGAAAATGTTATAAGACATTGTCAAATTCAAAAAAAAATTGTCAAATTAAAAAAATTTCTAATACTATTTACCAATAAATTTATTTTGCTGTATTAATTAGCATATGCAATTATTCAATCAAAATCTACATAGAGCAAATATTCTGCTTAGAATATTTCATGTCAGTAGATCCCATTAAGAAAGGAAAAAGATTTATCCTTTTTGTCCTCCTACTGCTCTTACAAAATAGTTCCTGTTGACAAATTTTAAGAGTATTTTCACATAAGGAGAATAAATTTTATCAGAAAGAAATTTAAATTTTATATACATTGATGTAGGTTTCACTAAATATTTCCAAAAACATATCCATTATGTGTTATGTAATTAAAGAGACGTTTAAATAATACAAAGGTATCAATAAGAGACTCAGTCAAGAATGTAGATTCTGAAACCAGAGTGCCTGCATTAAAATCCAGCTTTTCCAATTACTCATGCTGAGGCCTTAGGCCAATTACTTAATTTCTTTTAAGCTCTTGTGCTTAGTTTTAATTTCTTGTGCTGTAAAATGGAGGAAACAGTAGTGCTATCTTATAGGTTATTGTTCAAATTAAATTATAAATGAATAATAAAGATAATTTAAAAGTAACACTATAAACATACAGTTCTTAGAATCGGTACCTGATTTATATCAAGTGCTGTATAAAGGTTTCTCATTATTATTGTAGTGGCAAAATCCATCCATAACTTGTAAAGAATAACCATCTAGGTATGGAAATATGAAGGTGTTAGCATGCAAAGACAGGAAAGAAAAGTGTTCAAAGAGAACAGCAATGGGAAGCTCAGTTAAAATTGCAGAAAACAGGCCCTTGAGGATGGACTAAAGTGACAAAGAAGGAGATTAACTGGGGATAATGTTGAAAGTCAAACTAGGACCAGATCCTTTAGCGCTTTATAGACCTTGATCAGAAGCTCAAATTTTATTATAAAAGCAATGGGAAGCCATGAGAGGGTTACAAGGGTGGGAGACTGAGTGGTATAATCTAATTTCCTATGAATATATTACTTCACGTGGCTGCTCTGTGGGAAATGGACTTTAGGGCTCAAATCTGGGTTCAAGAAGAGTAGATGAACAGTACAGAGACCCAGGTGAAAGATGATGGCGGCTTGGGAGCAATGGAAATGGAGGATATTTGGAAGGAGAGAAGAAAAGATAGCTAGAGAACCTGAGAGAGTGAAGGTGGAGAGAGGGAAGAAGGAAGGGAGGAATGAGGGAGGGAGGAAAGGAGAGACTGAGATTGTTTTAGAAGGGAGATACAGCAGCATATATGGATGAATGAGTACAACAGCAGATACAGCAGCATATATGCTGATGAGAAAAGCAAATAAAGATGAAGAAATTGATGTTGTACTAGACTGATGGTATATTTTTCTTCAGTCACTCCAAGAAATACCTTATTGAGGAAAATAAATACTCCCAGTTGCACAGTGCTTACTTCTACATAGTCCAATAATCCAAATAATCAGTAATAGCAAAGCCCACCCATGATTTAATTTTTCCCTCTTCTGAACTTCTAAGCATGTTACGTGTTATCCAGCTATAAAACTAGCTAGTTTTATAGTGCTGACCTGATTTGCTCATGTTTCAGTTTAGTAACAAGCTATGCTTATGAGTACAGCTATTTTGTCAATTTACAGAATTTACCAGTCTATTTGGGGGGTTGGGGGAAGTGGTTAGAGGTAAGGGTAAAAGAATCATTCTATTTAATAACCTCTATTTAAAATAATTCTTATTACCTTCTAATAATTTAGAACTATTTTATGATACACAAGATAAAAATCAGGACTCTCTTAACCTCACTTCATATAAACCATTAAGAAAACAAGATTAT